GCAGAAACAACGGGTGCGAAAAACGCTCGTCGCAGATGCACTTCGTGGCGAAAAGCGCGCTCGGAAGGAAGCAACGCGGAGCTAAAAACGCTCGAGCAGTGCAACCGGTGGCGGAAAACGCTCGAGCAGAAGCAACCGGATGCGCGAAAAGCGCTCGAGCAGAAGCAACCGGGAGCGAAAAAAGCTCGTGCAGAAGCAACCGGAGAGCGCGAAAACAACGCCCTCGTGCAAACAATCTTGGGAAAGCGCTCGAGCAGAGCAATCGGAGCGAAAAAGCGCTCGAGCAGAAGCAACCGGGAGCGAAAAAGCGCTCGAGCAGAAAGCAACCGTGAGCTGAAAAGCGCTCGAGCAGGAAGCAACCGAGCGGAGAGCGAAAAAAACGCTCGAGCAGGAGAGAACCGGGGCGATAAAGCGCTCGAGCAGAAGCAACGGTGTCGAAAAACGCTTCGATTCAGAGCAACGGTGTCGAAAAGCGCTCGAGCAGGAGCAACCGGAGCGAAAAAACACTCGGGCAGAAGCAACCCGGTGGCAAAAAACGTCGTGCAGAAGCAACCGTTGCGCGAAAAAGCTCGAGCAGGAGCAACCGGGAGCGAAAAACGCTCGAGCAGAAGCAACCGGTGGCGAAAAGCGCTCGAGCAGACAACTGGTGCGATAAGCGCTCGAGCAGAAGCAACAGGGAGCGAAAAACGCTGCGAGCGGAGCAACCGGTGGCGAAAAGCGCTCGAGCAGAACAACCGGAGCGAAAAACGGCTCGTAGCAGAGCAACCGGGAGCGAAACGCCGAGCAACGGAGCAACCGGTGCCGAAAACGCTCGAGCAGAAACAACGTTGACATAAGCGCTCAGCAGAAGCAACAGGGAGCGAAAAAAACGCGCGAGCAGGAGCAACCGGTGCCGAAAAACGCTCGAGCAGGAGCAACCGGTGCCGAAAAAAGAACACCGCAGCAGAAAAAATCGGATGAGCAAACTGGGAAAGCGCTCGAGCCAGGAAGCAACTCGGGAATGGCATAAAAAGCGCTCGAGCAGACAACACAGGCACGAAAAAGCGCTCGCCGACAGAAGCAACCGTGTGCGAAAACGCTCGAGCAGGAGCATCGGGAGCAAAAAACGCGCGACGAAGCAACCCGGTGGCTGAAAACGCTCGTGCAGAAGCAACCGGGAGCGAAAAGCGCATCGTGCAGGAGGAGCAACCGGCGAGCGATAGCGCTTTCGAGCAGAAGCAACGGAGCAGTACTCGAAGCCCTCCTTTATTAACTGCAGGTAGTCGGTACAATCACAGAAGGGGGTTTTCCACAAAATATCTGAAAATATTTGATGAATTGATCGAGTTTGTGGGGTTCCACCGCGAAAGTAATAAATACAACGTTTGTTGTTTACATCATGCAAAAACTCATCTAAATACATCATGCAGGAATTTCTGAATTGAGCGTTTCATTTCCCTGAAGCGAAAGGAAAGATTTTCCTATATCTGTATTTCCAACTTTCCCTAACCACTGTACGTTAGTAGCATTTCCTAATACCCATATTGTTGAATAGTACTCTCGCAGCGAACAATTTGCTAATGTCGTATTAACTAATTGGTCAATGAATGGATTTTTTATAAAAATTTGAACAGGAAAATCTAAATTAAATTGAACAATTAAAAATAAACAATCATAGTGTGGACTGACCACTGCGTGTGTTCTAATTCTGCAGCATCTTCGTCCCAAGTCCTAAAAAATAAATTATTCAATCACATCCGAAATGCCTTATTGGCATATGGACGGGAGCAGAGCCCTGAATCGAGACGAAGATTCCCAGGCTAACTGCAATCCGAGCGCTGCGAGAGCGCAACGCTGGCGTCGCGGTGGAGCCGCCACTGCACTTTCGCGCCGCGTTCCAACCTCCCCCACCCGGCACCCCACCGGTTGACCGGTGTGGCGAGTGGGTGAGGAGGGCGAGGCGAACCGAGGCGGAGGTGGCCTGCGTACGATGCAGAGCAGGGCTTGGCATGTCGGCATTTACAGCGTCGGCACAGAGGAGAGGACAAGAGCAGGCTGTGGCGTTGAGAGAGCCCTGGCTGCAGTGTTGTAACGAAAAAAAGTACGAATTCGTTAAAAAGTAGTTGTATTCACAGACAATATCTTACAAGACATGCTACAACAAACAAACAGGTGTTTCTAAAATAGCTGGGAGTGTGTTCCAGAGAAAAGCTGGAGACACTCAAGAAGCCAAGAAGCAGCAAATTCAAAAAACGTTGCCCACGTGGTGAAAGGTTCAAGCGAGAGAAGTCCGATAGCATTATTGCGTAGTCGTCAACTCGAATGACTAAACGGCATTCTTTACTCTTCACGTCCGCCAGATTACTTGTGAACTCTGACTCTTCTTTTCTTTTTTTCCATTATTCATCTTTTCGGCTGCCGGCTCCTGGGCAGAAGGGCGGTTTATTCCCCTTTCGGGCTGAGCGGCTCGCCGGCTGTGTCATTGCATAGGGCCGCCGGCGCATATGTGAGGCGACTATCTCGTGCGGGCGGTGCCGCGCTGTGTGTCCGTGCGCCGCCGTTTGGTCGCTGCGCCCTTCGGAGATCCCTTCCTAAGATGACGCCGGGCGACCAGCCTTGAACTAACAGACGACCGGGTACACCAACAACCGTCTCCCTCGCTCCAACTTTCTGATTTCCCACCCGGTGTTCCGACCATCCACTCCTTTCGATCCGGCTATGCCAGTCCGGCTTCGCACGCCCACCAACCCGTTTCTTGGCCACATCTCGTTTACCTCCTACTTCCCCATCCCCCACGGGCGTCTACCTTCACCAACAACCGCTCCGCCTCCCGCGCTCAACCCCACACATGCCCCGCTCCGCCACCACTGGTCGCCACTTTGCCATCACTACTCCCGACCCGCTGCACCTCTTGTCTTTCCGCCCCGTCCCGCTTCACCCTGCCCTGAAGGCGGCTCCGCACGTTTGGTCAAACAGGCTGATGGCTCGCTACTGCTCGCTTTAATCCCGAACAGTGATGAGTTCGACGAATATTCGTTTCCTTAGATATGTTCCTAAAGACCGGACCGGGGCGGCAGGGCGACACCGAAGCTATTCTATTTCGGCAAACACGAGCAACGCATCCTCAACTACTCGAGATTCGGCGAGCGGTGCTCCGCTACTCACAGAAAAACGAATGTGAGGAGCCTTGACGCGCTGTGTCCGTCTCGTACTGACCCGTTGGAATCGGGGCGTCCGTTGCTTCGCCCGTCTCCCCGCCCCTCGCGCCCGATCTGACACTCTATCCACCACAGTTCGGTGAGCGGGAAAAGCAGGCTCTTTGCAAACGCGGGCAGGCGGAAGCCCCCGCGGACGGGAAGGGAGGGGCGGGTCGGGTTGAGGCGGGGCGAGGCAGGTGGGCGGGCCGGAACGGGCGGGAGAGGCTGGAGGCGCGGCCAAAAGTACAGCGGAACGGGCGGGGCTGTGCAAGGCGGAGGGGCGTGGGAGGCGGCGGCACGGGATGGGCGGGGCGGGCGGCTGACGGCGCCGGAACGGGAAGAGTGTGGCAGAGCCGAGTGGGCGGGGGACGATGGAGCGGGCATGAAAGGGGCCGGGAGGTCGACCGGGAGGGGCGGGCGCGAGCGAGGCGTGTTGGGCGGGTTTTACGAGGGCGAGGGTGCATTGGAAACGCCAGGGAGCCCTCCTCGCCTCCCACCCCCAGCCAACACGCTTTTATTGCGCTGTCGCCGCCGCGCTTTTTCCGACGCCCAATAAAAAGAGCGGCGCCTTCCTCAAACGCCGCACCCGCGCACGCCCACGCGCCCCGGCGATCTGCGTCCCACAATGAACCGGACGCTCCGCGAGGCGCCGGGCGCGAGCGGAGTCGGAGCAGACCACTGTTGGCAACCGTGGCGACGAGTACGAGACGAGACCAGACGCGATTGCGGAACTTGCGCGGCCAAGATGGGAAAACGAAGGACAAGCGAACAAATAAATCTGGGGATTGGAGCAGTGATGCGAATATCGAGTCTTCTTAATGCGGTTATTGGTCCCAGTACATGTTATAACCAGCAGGTGGCGCATGTTCCCCTATGCTAGAAACGTTGAAATCTTCAACCTGTACGCGTCATCTCTCTTTGAGACCAAAACTTTTTATTCCGACTTGTCACTGCTTATAAAATTACTGGAGTATTAAATTTCAACGTTTCCTGAAGATGTAATTATGTGTTATCCTGGACTGGCCGCCTTTGAGGAGAAGCTGAAGATAATCGGCGCTGGACCACAACAGAAAATGTAAACTGAAATAGTAAAATGGACAATAACGGGTGCTTTCAAAGCTTCTGACGTTTTTAGGGCTTACAATAATATTACAATACATTTATTGCTGATAATATTTATTGCCATTATAGATGCCGAATTCTTGTTTGCTCCGAATCAGAGGTGTGATAGGGGTGTCATCTTCACAAGTTGAACAGATTTACATACAATTAAATACTTTAAAATAATGTATGTTTAACTATATCATTACTTTTCGAAGTTTTATATCGACCATTCTCCCACGAGACACTTTCGCGAGAATATGGATTACGAATATGGGATGATACTATTCACGACATGAATGTGTTCCCCCACTAAAACCTTACACAGATTAAGAAAACGTACACGCAGAAATGTCGGGCGTACTGCTCAAAATGCGAAAGAAAGACACCGGTTTATGTGTTGGTTCGTGCGTAACATGGGTTGGGAAAAGCTCATCGAAATACCTAATACTAATTCTGCGGATTCCGAATGAAGAATCGCGGCGTTGACTCCCGCTCGGGCATGTTAGTATTTTGTGTTGTTCTATCACCCTCTAACACCATCATATCATATTATCTTCCACAATACCACACGTAACGCAATAGTGCGTCGCTAATGGCCTAGATGTGATGCGACCTTAAATAACAAAAAAAAAAGGGAATACTATTACAGCAACAAACATACTTTGACAGATGGTTTAGCTTCATGTTAATTGCGTTTAGGTCATTTGGAAGTCTCCGTACCCTTACACTGTCTCCAGGCGTCGCAGGGCGTGGAGAGCGGCGCCTCGGGCGCGGGGGCGAGACCGGGCTTTCGATCCGCCCGTGCGCCGGTCAATGCCTCCGCCCACCGCCGCGCGCCCCAAGGCTGCCCCGGCGAAATAGCGACGCCGTCGCGCCGCGCGCGCGCGTCGCGCTCGCCGTCGCGTCCAGAGCGGGAAGGCAGGGCTCTTCTGCAACGCGGCAGGCGGAGCGTGACGGAGGGGCGGTGGCGGGCGGGGCGTGGCCGGCGGGGCGGGCAAAGCATCAAGGAGCGCGACGGGTGGTGCGGGGGTGCGGGGAGCCGCAGGCTGCTGCAGGCAGGCATGGCAGGCAGGGGGCAGGCGGGCTTGGGCGGGGCGTGCGGCGGCACGAGGGCGGCGGGTGGGAGGAGGGAAGGGAGGGGCAGGCAGGGCAGGACGGACTGGCGAGAACGGGCAGAGCCGAGTGGATTGGAGCGGCATGGAAGGGCCGCGGCGCGGGCGGGGCGGTCGGGTGGCGGGACCGGATGTGCGGGGACCGGGTGGCGGGACCGGGTGGCGGGACGGGAGGCGCGTGCGAGCGAGGCGTGTTGCGTGGCGTGTTGCGGGCGTGTTGCCCGCGCTTCCAGCTCGCGGTTACACCCCTCCTGTGACTTCCTGCGAAAGCGGCGAAAGTGCGGGGAAGTTCTTTTCTTCGCGCGCTTTCAGCTCTGCTCCCTATGAGAGCGAGCCGTTCGCCAATTCCTGCAATTTCTCTTTGGCACGTTAATGCCAGATCTACTGTACCGTGGGTTCGAAGCTTATACTATTGCTTTACATAAAAAAACGCATTCTTTTCACGCGTTCACCTTGCTCGTGAATTGAAAGGGACCTGGAAGCTCTTGTATTTCGAGCTGTTCTATTCTGTTACTACCAGTAGTCGATTGCCGTTCAGTGTCGAGGAGAATCCAAGAAAGTTGTTGATGTGCCTTCTGTACAAAATATCTATTTTTTCTCGATAATACATATCAAACCTAAAGTAATATAGAAATGTGTTTAGTATAATTTTTAACAAGCTCTCAGTGATATGCTCATTTTTTAACATTTTTTCTTATTTGCATTTATAGCGCATTTATCACGAAACGCAAAACATTTTAAATACAGAACGTACGTATTTGTTTCGTAAAATCCGAATCTGCAAATAGAAAATGTTGGGTACCGTCATTTTCAACACCCCCCCTACTCCCGCGAGCGTAAATAGGGAGATAAAGTATCAATGTCTTTCATCAATTACGAACCAACTTTTATTATCCAATTTCGTTGATCTGATGCGCACTTTTCAAGATATTCCTGACACCTGTTTTTTTAATGGAGCACCTGTATACTGATTGATTTTTCAATGATTTGCTCCAAGTTGTCCGAGTAGACAGAGACTTTCAAATAGCATTCGTAGCTTTCACGGCCGGAGTCAATATAAGATAGTTTTTCCGGGTGGTAGGCCGTGGTCTAGGTTTGCATTGTTGGGCCAACAATGCCAACTAGACCACGGCCTACCAGCCCGGAAAATCATATCTTCTTAAGACCTTCCAATGTTCTTATAATACGGTCATCTTAGAGAGCCCGAAAACGATTGAAATATGTCTAAAAACTATTCCTCGGTAGTTCATTCATCACGAGATGTCGAAATCTAAACGTGCCGCCTTGAAGGACTTGTACGTTCTAAAATAATTGTAACTTCTCTCTAGCGACAAATGAATGATTTGAGAAAATCATCCATTTTCAGAAATTTGGAGATATTGTAAATATTGTATATTCCAATCAGTTGTAATATTATTTGTCTTCTGCACACAATAGCTTTTAATTTTCATACCAGAACAATGATGCATTGATAGAGAATTATTTTATTAACTGTTTTATAAGAATGAAGTATGAGCCATCAAATTAACGAACTGATCACTAGCCATGAGCAAATGAAATGATATCGTTATTTACATTATTATTGAATCAATAAGCTATCGTTGGGATTTATTCTGAAAAATATGATCCAGCAAGATGCTGTCTTATATTCAGTGAGTAAGACAAAGAGAGACGTTTGGCTTATTTTCAATTGATATTACACGGAAAGGGACACAGAGATTTCGCGACCAGAACACTTATACTCTCTAAACCGTGCTGGTTCACCACCGCCTTCCAAGCACAGATCGAGAAAATTAACGGAGATTCAACAGGTGTTCGACGCAAACGGGAGCCGCCAGAGACGCCCAGGCTTCCAGGCGGTCATCCATCCAAATAACGAGGCGACGCCGCTTAACTTCCGGTGATGGCAACGCGCATGGACGCGGACGGAAGTCGGCAAGTCCCACGCATAATCCATTAGCCCTATCAGCGGCCCGGGTGTAAACATCGCCCCCGCGCCGCCCCCGCGCCGCCCCCGCGCCGCCGCGCCGCCCCCCGCCCGCCCCGCAGCCGCCCCCCGGCTCGCCGCCGCGCTTCCCGGCCGCGCATTCCAGCGGAACAAAGAGCGGCGCGGGCGCCATTTCGATATTAGCGCGCGGTTGCGGCGATGAAGTGGATGGAGGGGCTCACGCAGGCGGGACGCGGAACGGCGAGGGGGAGAGCGTTTAGGGGGGGCGGTGTTGGTGGCAAAGGCGACGGCATGAAACGTGGCGGAAGATAAACGAATACTGTAGGTAATGAGGCCGGTGAGATTTGGTGAAGTGGTGGCTGGTGGTGGCTGGTAGTGGTTAGTAAATTAAGAGTAGTAAACTATGTAATATAGTATTAATAGTACGCAAAGTAATAATTAGTTAATATTAGTAATAATCGGTGTGAAGAGCAGTAGTGGGTTGCGTAGTGGAGTGGAGGGGTGAGGAGGAGGCGAGAGAAAACTCTGGCGGTGGGCAAGGCAACGGCGGGCGTCTTGCACGCGTGACGGCTGATTTTGGAAAGTACTGTTGAGAGGTGGGGTCAATAGCAGTAAATGGCAGGGTGTTGGTTGCGGGAGAAGGCTATGGCGTTGTGTATGTGCAGTTAGGAAGCAGGACATGGTGGTGCAGTGTGTGTGGTGGTGTGGTGGTCGTGTGTGGGTGTGGTATCGGTTGCGGGTGGGTGGCGCGTGGTGGGTGGCGGTGGTGGTGGGTCGGTGGTGTGCGCGTGTGGCGGTGGGTGGCGTTGGCGGTGGCGGTTGGTGGCGGGTGGCGGTAGATAGTGTCGTGTGTGATGAACGGGCGCTCAGTAAAAGGGGGGGTGATGGGAAATAGGTTGTATCAGCTGGGTTTAATCCGCGTGATACGATGACAGCGACGACAAGAAAAGCAGCATGTACAGAGCGGTAATGATGTACATGAAACAGTGATTTTGTTGCTGAATGTAAAAAACATTTATATTCGTTTTTTCATGTCCCTTCTCTCTTCTTCCTATTATTATTATTATTATTATTATTATTATTATTATTATTATTATTATTATTATTATTATTTCAGTAGAACTCCAGTATTCCGAAATAATTGGGGGTGTGGTCTGTTTGGATTTGGTAATGTTCAGATTGAAAAGAGTACCGTACAGTATACAAATACGAACATACATCTCGTACATCTACAGCATTACCAATCACAATTAAACGAAGTGTGCGATGTGAAAAAATGGCAACATAGCGTAGCAATCACATCATCATATCGCATCATCATCATACAGATTTAATTCCTACGGCAAAAAAAGATTACCGAATTTGCAAGTTCCTCTAAGTGAAAATGAGTGCTACATAAACATGTGATAAACACCGTAGTTACCAGTGCAATAAATGTTTCGTTTCGACTTGTGTTTCAATAATTAGTTGTTCAGTTGTATAATGATTATAAAATCTTTTCTTTGCATTACAAGTATCTATTTTATTTATTTTGTTTATTATTTTTTTCTCATTATCCAAAATTAGCGGGGTTCTACTGTTTATTATTATTATTTCTAATATCTACGCTCGTCCGTAGTTTCAAGAACTAAAACAAATTAGACCGTAGAAACGAAACGAATACTGATCAAAAAATCTTTTTCGTAATAATTTTGATGAAATTCCATTGAAAGAGAAGAAGAACAGTTTTTGAAGCAATTCTTAATCATGTGGAGAAGCTGTGCATATTAGAAAATATTTATTGGCTGTAAACTTTTAAAATGGAGAATTTAATATTAAAGAATCATTTTTTCTTTCAAAGTGTAAAAATATCTGAGTCATTTAAATTTGTTTTTGTTTGAACATCACGAGATCATTCACAAACATAACGAACATCATCATGAGTTTTCAGTTATGTTAATCACGTTATGATTGTCACATGTAGTGTTGGTTTTTTTCACACGGGTTTATTAAAGAACGAAGGTTCACCCAAGTGAGAATTTTTCAGTCGATTTTCATGTTCTGTAAGCTTCATGATAAAGCTAATCTGACTACGGTTCTTCTTGCTTATCTATATTCGATCGCCAATCCTGAATTATAAAAATTAAACTAATATATTCAGAGAAATCATGGCTATACGGTTCTTTTCAATTTTGAAGGTTTCCTTTGCGACATTAGACACTAGATCAAATAAATAATTATTATCATGTAAAATTAAGATTCGCGAAGAAATCGTAAACAAAAGTTATATTAGTCACCATGGGACCGCCTTATCAATAAATATAATAACCAAAAATGCTGGTAGTGGAGACGATGGCACATGTCATAGTACAAAATTATTTTACAGAAACAAATAGATGAGAAAAGGTTATAAAATATAGCGGAATGCGACCGACAGGGGTGGACAATCCTGAAGAGAGATGATCCCGTGGCAGAGAATTGGAAGATGCCCTCACCCGCAGACTACGCGCACGAGCGTGCGATTTCTGGAACACAATGGACCTCATCTTCGATAAACACACAGAAGACTCCGAGAACGCGGAGCATGGAAACGACTAATACATATACCCAAGGATGATGATTCCTTGACGGGACGTGGCAACCAGTTGCAACAATCACAAATAATCCAAAATTGCCACTGGTGCTACCATCACGGTCTGCACAAAATCCTCTCACGGTTTACTACACTGTCAAAAATGTTATTAAATGTAATACTCATTAATATATTGTATACGGAACTTAATGTAACCTTGTATATTAAAAATTTCTATATATATTTGTACATTAAATATCATGCATAAGTGAAAATCAGTGTAGATTTAATGTAGAGGTTCACCCGTTTCCTCTCCCTCTACCATTCATCTCATTCATTAAAAATCACCTGTCCATCAAAATCATTCATTCATTCCAGGTATGACCATACAGCTTTGACTCATGCATCCTAATGTACATGTGTACATTATATTTAATGTGTGTTAATGATAATTACTTTTATTAAAGTAATGCGGACATTTCCGACAGTGAAGAGAACCGAGATAAGAAACTACCACTGGTAATAAATGGAAGTTTGAAGTGAAAAAAAACTTAAATTTAGTAGCAAAGAGATTGAATTGTGTTCTTCTATTGATTATTATGAATTATTAGTAAGGGAGTTCGATTACGTTCAGTTATTTTTGATGGGTTACCCATAGTTATCCATAAAATAGTGTTTTCCCCTAGGGTTTTTATCAAGCGACAGGTGGTTACACGTTACGTTGCGACAGGACACGTATTCGCCTAGGGACAAACAATCATG